ATTCAATTCCACTCGCTATGTGAAATGGCAGAAAATTGCACTCGGTAGGAGAGCACAAATTGGTGTGAGGAGAACAGAGGCAGGAGGTATAAAGAGAGAATAAAGTAGGGGCAGCTTGTGTGCTTAAAGCAATTGGCTTGTGTGTCATGCGTGAGCCTAGAAGCTCTCCTACTTCAAGGCGTTACAGATGCACAACTGTGGAAATAAAAATGTTTTTGTTTTTGAAAAGATAAGTTGGTGCCAACCCTCTAGCTACACTCTTCTCCCACCGCATCAGTCATTTACTCCTCACTCAGTCACCGTCCTCACTTCATTTAGACTGCCAAACGTAGCTCTCATTTACTTCTCCTCTTTAAACATTCCTCATCCTCAAACACGTTTTTCTAACCAGTCACTAACGTATTCTGAAAATCATTTACATTCAGATTCCCCTTTCTTAAATGCCGTCACCAAAATAAGTTTGCCAATTTTCCTTTCTCTGTTAACATAAAAAGTATAAACGAGTAAGCAGCGAATAGCAAATTTCACCCTCATTTTAAACAAATAAATGCAAAAGAGACGAAGTAACGTGGCTACCTCTTTAAAAGCAGCCATTAAGGAAATGCATCCGAGGCGAGAAAGGTGGACGAGTGTTGTCAATGCGTGTCCCAATATCTGCTCTCTACCACCATAAATGAGGCGTTGGGTGGCCACCTTCGTTCGTACTCTCGATGGTCGAACATTGTGTAGACGTTGTGAAGAGGAATGCCGAGCTTAAATGCTAGTAATCCAAGATACACATCTTCATGAATGTAATTGTATCGCGTGTAGGCTGATCCGATCGCCATATCGTCGACAATATCAGCTCCTATTAGCTGGCAAAATCCGCGGGGATACGGACACATAATATCCCAGGGAATCTCTTGGAAAGCAAGGTACAGCTTACTCAGTGGAGATCGGAATGCACCATCGTTCCTTGCTATGCGACCCAACAGTGATGTCCTTTTTATGTGTCGCGGAACCGTGGCCAGGAAACGCATTAGCATTGAAACATTCACACGGTGGTCATCGTCAATTATCATAAACATGTCATTTTGTAGTTTGTCACAGAAAGCCGATAGCCAGCGTAGATTGGTTACTGTTTTCCATGTGAGATTGTAGTAAGTGTCCTCATAGTCTGCCAGAATTATATCGTCATATTTCCTTATCTCTTCCGCAATTTTCTGCATCACTTCGTTGCCTCTACCAGCGTATGCATCCATCATATCACCGACTGGCCCTCTCAATATGGTAGTGTAACCATTACGATTGAAAAGACGTCCTCCATGCTGTCGTGGCAGTCCGATGCTAAACACAACCCCAATTTTGATGTTTGGATTGAGATCCCTCTGGCCTTCAATAAATGCTCGAAACAGGTCCCGTTTTTCCCAACCAAAAATTCCACTCTTGACAATAATCACTAGATCGTGTTTGATTCGGCCTGCACAGACTGATCTGCTGGTGTTGAGAATATTAATGGGAAAATTGTACTCAGGCATCTAAAGTAAAATAAAGGGGGTTGTTACTCGACTTGCTGATGCGACTGCCACTTTCTCATTCAGGGCAAAAGAGTATTTTATGCCTTTGAAATCCCTCCCCGCTCGGGCTTTGCTAATGCAACCATTGAAAAGTCGTACTCATCTGCATTTAGACGGTATTTACCAAAATCGCTTTACTGTAGCTTCCAACTCCGCTCATTATTAATAGCGAGAGTAAAGTAAATGCTCTTAACTTACAGCAGAAACAGGAGAGCCAGACTTGACTGCCTTAATAATGTCGTGGATGGGAACATCCTGTGGGTAGGTTCGCCAGACGTTGGGATAGATTGCTAGTCTCCAGATGGGCCGAGAGTAGTCGCTAATCTCCCTGAAGGAAACCATCTTGCCAGTCCCAGTATTGCGGAAGAGACTTTCAATTGGATACGTAATCAGTGAGTTGTTTCTCGACGTATTTGCCTTGAGTTTAAGGCAGATAGTGAAGTTATATGTGCTGGTATTAGTGCGAATGTCATCCAGAACTACAGGCGGCCATCTACAAGGAATTGGTTTTGAGCAAGGGAATGTAGTCCTGTTAAAATTGTCGACACGTTCCAAGGAATTCCATACAAAAACAATGATCAGACCGATATTAATGCAGCAAAAGATCTTCGTTATTATCCGTGACGTTCGTAGCATTTTTGAACAAGCAGTGTCGCGTTAATCAAGTGGCTCCTCATATTTATGCCACCTCTAACCCTCCATGCAGCCTTAAACCTTAATGAAGGTTGATTCTTGCTACTATTGTTATTGGGCTTCGGCTGCTTACTAGACCAATCACAATGCTGATGCGATCCACTTCTAGACTAGCCTTTATGATTGATGGTAAGTTTACGCGTGCACCACACCGATTATCACGACTCTCTCAGTGAGCTGGGGCAAGGTTCGCCTGTAGCACAAATTAGTCCTGCTAATGTTGCACAGCTTTCTCTACGAGGATTCTCCGTAACAGAGATTGCATAGCTCGAACTTACTACCGTGGTATCGCATAACGGATCCCCATGGATCTGCAGACGACCAATGCAACCGCCAAGTAACATCCAAAGCCTTTAAGGGCAAGTAATACTGTATGAATGTTCCTTACCTAATTTACTAGACAAGATATGTGAACAAGGGTTAGACTTATGCTTAAGTTGTGAGGTGTGAACGAATTCAATATATAATTTAAACTAACTGGCTGGTTGTAAGGGTTGCAACAATTTCGTGCCGCTTTTGCAGCAGCTCTCTTTCATCCCTTGAAATAAATTAACTGAAAGTGATCTATTTTAAACCTATGCAAAGATTAGCTTTGCTATTTTAACGTATCTTTTGATTTTTTGCGCTTTCGATTTCATAGAATCAAATATTTTTGGTCCCCTATTATCCATCATTCTCTGGGCAGTTTTCACATCTTTTTTTCAGCGTTTTAACGAGCAGTAGTCACAACTTGCATTAAATAACTTAATTGCTGCCTTTTTTCCTTGACCTTTAAAGCATTTTACATTTGGGTATTTGTACGACTAAGCTAAAACTTGTGGTGAGGTTAGGCACCGCCAAGAATTTTCAGTAAAGCATCGATACTACTTGCATTGCCATGTACCATTGAGGGATTATGTGGGTCAAGGCAGTAACGCCAACGAATATTCTAATACCATTATACCTTAGCACTTTATTTTGTTTGTTTCATATATCTATGCTTTTAAGTTAAGCCCTCGCACTGTGTTCCGTTCCACCGCTGGAATAGGGTAAAATCTTTTGAGTGTCTTTTGGAGTGAGTGCCATCTGTACTTGTGGTACGGACCACCAAGGGAAACCGAGTTACACGACGTCATTGCGGCAATAAATTACAAGGATGAAGGTCAGCGGTCCATAGAAAAAATTGCATTTTAGCCTTTCGAGTAGCACACAGCTATTGCGTAGTGTTAGTAATTCAATTTGTAGACCGGGAGCACTGAAGGAGGAGTGAATGTGGGGTATATGATGTTGAAGCTCAGCATAACTAATAAGTGGCAACATTTACGCCAACCCGGAAGCAGAAATCACACCCACACAAGCACTTGCGTCACTGAATGTCAACACTAGCGTCAATTAATTGGCTTCTTGCTGCCTAAACGACAGTCATAAAACTCATGGGGTGTCATTACTTGCAATCGGAAGTAATTTTTGCATTGTCACCATCATTTTGTCGCTTTTGCTTATTTGTAAATAAACTGATCGGAAGATCATGCACAGCTGATCAAGAGTTTTGACGAGAGAATAGTTTGCAAGTCGACGTTTGCCTATATTGTCTTTTTTGATTTACCTGTCTGTCCTTAGTCTGTGAGATGGTGGCGGATGATCACGTCCGTAGCCGCCAACCCTTTGGCCCGACACAAACTCGAACACTCTTAAACTAGCCTCGTATACTTTGGCGTAGAAGGAGAAAATCTGTTCTAACACGTTAAAACGAATTCGCTATTTAAAACTGTTACATGATATGGAAGTGAAGAGAGAGTCTTGCAAGTTGTGCGAGACATTGGTTATTAGACACCCAGCTAATGACAACTGACACCAGCATCCAACGCGATGCTTGTTGGAGCATTGTGAGCAATAAATGTGAAATTTATTTTCACCTGGCTGATATCTCGTAAGCTGGATAAACAGGCGGACACTCTCTGATTGCCTCTACTCCAACCGCTTTGACCCTTAACTGCTGATCCTCCGCCGTGATGCAGCAGTAAGGTGAGCATTCAATGATTTCTTTTATTCTTGGCCATTCAGGGAACTCCACAACATTCTACACCACTACGGTCACACTGAACTTTCAAAGTTGCCCACCATCCACGCCTCCTAGGGAGAGGGGATCGAAAGAAAGAAGTAGAACGTATTGCCGTTCGCAAAGCACCACCGCCTTCTGTTCGCAAAGTAACTTATAGGGCGAAGGATCGTTTGCTTCTTTACTGTTGTTCTTTTTGCTAATATTCATGCTTATTCTCAATGCTAGAGAGATAAATCTCACACAGCACAATTTGAAATCACTAAATGACCTGTAATAGATGGTGCAGAAACGGGAAGTTTTCCTGTTTGTGGTACCTGTCCGGTTCCACTAAACTGCTACTTTTATGTTTTATGTAAACTATTTTGGAGATTTTCGTATCCATAGAAACGCACTCCTACTTCACTATTCTAGAAGTTAACTTCGCAATAGGTGATTTCCAAATCTTCCACTTATTCTCACCTTCCTTGTCCATTTCGCTCTGGCCAACCGTCGGAATTGTGCTTGGAGTTGATAAACGCTGAAAGACCAAAACTAATCACCCACTACGAGAAGTGACGCATTCGATCTACTAAGGTCTGTACACTCTCCCACTACCCTCCTCCATACAAT